AACAATTTTATAAAAACCTTTGATCAGACAGGGGGAATGAAAACGTTTCATGTAAATGCATTTATTCTATTTGTGTTAAATAGAATGTTTCAAATAATCAGTTAAATAATAACGAAATAAAAATATCAAGCACAAAATAATTAAAATATGAAAAAGAAAAAAAAATATTATAACACGCCCTGAAGATTATTTACGTATAAAAGCAGATTCTAAATTAAGAATAAAGCTATAGAGACTCAAAAATATTTTTAAAAAAATATACTTGCGTTTGAAAACTGTCATGTCATGTATTGAAAATGATTAAGATTTTATTGAAAACGTTTCATGTAAATAAATATAGTTAAAAAAACAATAAACAGCAGTTGTTGCGAATTATAATGTTAGACTAGGAGGTTTTTTTCTCAATAAAAAAATACATAACAACAATATATTAATATTGTTATTTGCAAATGATTTTAATTTCAGTAAAGGAACATTATAATTGTTTGAGGGGATTTTAATCCTTGTTGTTGTTGTTTCTTATCCCACTTGGCTGGCCAAGCCCACGAGCCCTTTACGTGCTCATGATTGAAGGGGAAGGAAGCAGCTTCTGTTGTGATGGAGCACCCGTAGGTAGAAGCCTGACTTTTGCTCCGTGACGTTCTTACAGTCATAGGAGACTGGGACCTACAGCTTAAAGTGGATTCCGAACCACTACAAACATCCATGGCACCGCCGGGATTCGAACCCGAAACCTGTGGCACCGAGCACCAGAGCGCTAGACACTCGGCCATTCAGGTCCCAAATTTGCCAACGGCATGCGGTGTTCCCAGGTGGTCACCCTCCCAAGTACTGACCGCGCCCAATCATGCTTGACTTCGGTGTTCTAACGAGAACCGGTATATTCATCATGGTACGGCCGTTGGCTAGATTTAATCCTACATTGCATTAATTATTTCTGAATCCCGATCAAATAGTAAATTTTCAACAGATTTATATCATGATGAGTTAAAAGTGTGTTTATTTATTTTTTTATTTATGCCTTTAAAGAACATTTTACATTTATATGAAAATAAAATTTATAATAAATACTGAAAATTACAATTCCCAAATTTCGTTGAATTATTTTTATTCAATTATATAATTAAAAAAATAAAATAATATTTTGATAAACCTTTCTCAATATTTTGATAAACCAAATCTCAACCTTTATGTTAATAAACTCCAAGTAAAAATTCATTTTAAATTTACTTTTTAATTTAAAATTCTTGAATTAACTAAATTAAATTAGATTTTTTTTTTACAAAAATATTTTTTTTTCACTTAGTAAAAATGTTTGGAGTTGGTTTGATTCTAAAAGATATTCTGTTAAAATATTGAAGAACTCCCAAATTAAAAAAGTAAATTAGAATAATATTCCTTGTAGCATTTTTCAATCTCATTAACTTCGTCGAAATTCTCTTCTTGAAATTAAATTAGGTAGTAGAAGAATTCTTTCAATTCAGATGTTAAAATAAATTTTTTTTCCTGGAAGTGCTATTTAGAAATTTTTAAATTGAAATGAAGATGATGAACTAAAGACATAATGTATGCGAGAAATATAATCAAGTTTCCATTGTAAGAAAATTTTTTAATATTCTGATATGAATTATTATTATTTTTTTAAGAAGACAGATATTCTTATGGAAGATAAAGTTTATTTCGATTTACTTGCTTAAATGTCGCCATATGCTCAATTGAAATACAGGTTCGTTTAAATTAAGAAGATAATTTAACGATTCTATTTCGTAACAGAAATTGAATTAAAATATTGCAGTAGTTGGATATTTTACTTTATTTATTTTTATGAATGAAATTTTGTCGACAAACATTTTAATTAACTTAAAAATAATTAAATAAATAAATACTTTTATTAAAAACCTTTATCAGACATAGTAGTATTTATTCTATTTGAGTTAGATAGAATGTTTCATATAAACAGGATACTGCTAATAAAATAAAAAAAACAAAATAGTTACAATATCAAAAAGAAAAAAAAAATATAACACGCACTGAAGATTATTTACGTATAAATGCAGATTCTAAATTAAAGAATAAAACTCTAGTGAGTAAAAAATATTAAAGTAAAATATACTTGCGGTTTAATGTTTGAAAACTATCATTGTATTCATTGAAAATGATTCATGTAAATGCATAAAGTTAAAAAAACAATAAACAGTAATTGTTGCAAATCATAATGTTTAAACTAGAGAATTATATCTGAATGAGAAAAATATATAATAACAATATTAATATACTGTTATTTAAAAATAATGAAATTCTAGTGAAACAAAAATATTAAGGAAAAAATACTTGTGCTTTATTTTTGAAAACTATCATTTCATTTATTGAAAACGATTATCATTTTATTGAAAACGATTATCATTTTATAGAAAACGATTATCATTTTGTAGAAAACGATTATCATTTTATTGAAAACGATTATCATTTTATTGAAAAATATTATCATTTTTATCATTTTATAGAAAACGAATATCAGAAAACGATTATCATTTTATTGAAAACGATTATCATTTTATTGAAAACGATTATCATTTTATTGAAAACGATTATCATTTTATTGAAAAATTATCATTTTATTGATTATCATTTTATAGAAAACGATTATCATTTTATTGAAAACGATTATCATTTTATTGAAAACGATTATCATTTTATTGAAAACGATTATCATTTTATTGAAAACGATTATCATTTTATCATTTTTTTATTGAAAACGATTATCATTTTATTGAAAACGATTATCATTTTATTGAAAAACGATTATCATTTTATTGAAAACGATTATCATTTTATTGAAAAAGATTATCATTTTATAGAAAACGATTATCATTTTATTGAAAACGATTATCATTTTATTGAAAACGATTCATGTAAATGTATATAAATAAAATACAATAAACAGAAATTGTTGTAAATCATAATGTTTATAGAGGGTTATATCTCAAATAAAAAAAAAATATTAATATATTATTATTTGCGAATAATTTTCATTTCAGTAAAAAAAAAAAACTTTATAAATGATTGAGATTAATTAATTTAAATTGCATTAATTATTTCTGTCGTCCCATATAATTGCAAATTGTCAACAGATTCGTACTATGATGTGTTAAGTAAAAATTGTTATTTATTTATTAATTTTATTTTTTAAAGAGCATTTTACATTAATATCAAAATGGAATTTTTAATAAATAATGAAAATTAAAATTTATAAATTTCGTTAAATTATGTTTATTGAATTATATAATTAAAATAATAAAATAATATTTAATTAAATAATAATTATGAATAATAATTAATTAATTAATTAAATAATATTTAATCCACTAGAAGTAAAAATGTTTGGAGTTCTTTCGATTCTAAACAAAAATTCTGTTAAAATATTGAAGAAATCCAAAATTAAAAAAAAAAAAAAAAATTATAAGTACATTAGAATAACATTCCTTGTAGCATTTTTCAATCTCATTAACTTCGTCGAAATTCTATTCTTGAAATTAAATTAAGTGGAAGAAGAATTCCTCCGATTCAAATGTTAAAATATATATTTTTTTTTCTGGAAATGCTATTTAGAAATTCTTAAATTGAAATGAAGATGATGAACGGCCGTACCATGCTGAATATACTTCTCGTTAAAGACATAATGTATTGGGTGGGTGACCACCTGGGAGCACCGCGTGCCGTTGGCAAAACCTGAATAATCAAGTTTCCATTGTTGAAAATTTTTAATATTCTGATATGAATTATTATTATTTTTTTAAATCATGAGTCCGTATGGGCTTGTGGGCTTGACCAACCAAGATATTTTATTATGGAAGATAAAGGAAGATAAAGTTTATTTCGATTTACTTGCTTAAATGTTGCCATATGCTCAATTGAAATACAGGTTCGTTGAAATTAAGGAAATAATTTAACGATACTATTTCGTAAAAGAAATTGAATTAAAAATATTGCAGTATTTGGATATTTTACTTTATTTATTTTCAGGAATGAAACTTTATCAAAAAACATTTTAATAAATGGAAAAATAAAAAAATATATTTATTAAAAACTTTTATTAAACATAGTAATATTTATTTTGCTTGAGCAGATAGAATGTTTCAAATAACTAGGATAGGAAATGAAATAAAAATAGCAAGCACAAAATAATTAAAATATCAAAATTAAAAAAGAAAAAAAATGTTATACCACCTATTTGAATACGTTAAAAGAATTAGAAAATAAAATAATTAAAAAATAAAATAAAATTTGATTCTAAAAAATAGAAAATAAGATATTTTTTGGGTAAAAAATCGTGCATTATATATCTTTCAAAATATTGTATTAATATTAATTAAAATTTTAGTAAAAATTTTTATATAAATTATTTTGGCCTGATAGCCGAGTCACTAGCATTATAACATTCAGCACCACATGTTTCGGGTTCGAATCCCTCATAGGGGCAATATATGTTTGCTGTGTTCGGAATCCACTTTAAACCATAGGTCCCTGTCTAATATGGCTGTAAAGATTTGGTGTAGCGCTGACAACTCTGCCTCGTAAAAAGTCAGCGTCACGGAGGTAAATCAGATTGATAAAATAATTTTATTTTTCCATTTGTAAAAGGAAAAAAATCTTTAAATTTTTCTTCATCATCTAAGGCCATTATGTTACTGGTTAATAAACTATGGTCCAGTAGTATTTTCGAGACATATGGCATACCACTTGGCTGACCAAGCCCACGAGCCCATACGTACTCATAATTGAAGGGGAAGGAAACAGCTTCTGTTGTGATGGAGTACCCGTAGGTAGAAGTCTGACTTTGGCTCCGTGACGCTCTTACAGTCATAGGTGACCGGGACCTACGGCTTAAAGTGGATTCCGAACCACTACAAACATCCATGGCACCGCAGGGAATCGAACTTGAAACCTGTCGCACCGAGCGCCAGACACTCGGCCATTCAGGTCCCAAATTTGTGAATGCCAACGGCACGCGGTGTTCCCAGGTGGTCACCCACGCCCAATGTGACCACGCCCAATGATGCTTGGCTTCGGTGATCTAACGAGATCCGGTATATTCAGCATGGTATGGCCATTGGCTCCCGAAATTCATTATAAATTAAAATGTCCTTTCTATTGTAAAGAAATTAGTATATTTCGTTTTTGTAAAAGAAAAATTAAAGTTTTTACCTTTCTGCTATAGTCATTATCTTAAAGTTAAAACATCGTGGAATAAAATTCTAAGTAGTGGTGTAGAATTAATTTCGGGCGTGTTATATAGAACACAAAATTCTATATAAATTAAAATGTAAAGAAATCAATACTTGTCTTTCTATGAAAGAAAAAAAAAATATCTTATTATTTTTCTTCATTATCTAAGATCATTACATAGCTGGTAAATAACAACCTATGATCTAGAAGTAATTTTGGGAAATATTAAATTCAACACGAAATTAATTGTAAATTGTAAAGAAATTAGTATTTTTCCTTTTTGTCAAATACTTCCTTTACAATTTTCTTCATTATCTATGGTCAGTATCTTACTTGTAAAACATCGTGGAATAAAATAGTAAAACACTTATGGTCTAGAAGTAGTTTCAGGACATATTTTATGGAACATAAAATTCGTTATAAATTGTAAAGAAACTAGTATTTTTCCTTTTTTTTAAAAACTTCCTTTACCATTTCCTTCATTATCTATGGTCAGTATCTTACTGGTAAAACATATTGGAATAAAATAGTAAAACATTTATGGTCTAGAAGTGTTTTAAGGACATATTTTACAGAACATAAAATTCGTTATAAATTGTAAGGAAACTAGTATTTTCCTTTTTGTCAAAACTTCCTTTACCATTTCTTCATTATCTATGGTCAGTATCTTACTTGTAAAACATCGTGGAATAAAATAAAATAGTAAAACACTTATGATCTAGAAGTATTTTAAGGACATATTGTATGGAACATAAAATTCGTTATAAATTGTAAAGAAACTAGTATTTTTCCTTTTTGTAAAAAACTTCCTTTGCCATTTTCTTCATTAGAGAGTTTTTGCATACCGTATTTTGGACGTCCGTTAGCTTTTTGTCTCTAGCGCACATGCCCATAGGAAAATGCGCATGCATATATGTAATAATGTTTCCTATGAGCATGCGCGATAGGGAGAAAAAGCTAACGGTCGTCCAAAATACGGTATGCAAAAACTCTCTATTATCTATGGTCAGTATCTTACTTGTAAAACATCGTGGAATAAAATAGTAAAACACTTATGGTCTAGAAGTAGTTTCAGGACATATTGTATGGAACATAAAATTCGTTATAAATTGTAAAGAAACTAGTATTTCTCCTTTTTGTGAAAACAAACACTTTACCATTTTTCTTCATTATCTATAGTCATTATCCTACTGGTAAAACATCGTGGAATAAGATAGTAAAGAAATTATGATCTAGAAGTAATTTTGGGACATATACGGAACACTAAATTCAATAAAAATAAAAGAAATCCTTTATTTTGTAAAGAAATCAGTACTTTTTATTTCTTTTTTGAAAAAGAAAAATAGGTTTATTTACTTTTTTCTTCGTCATCTGAAACTCTTATCACCAGTTTTCCCCAACATTTTGTCTTACCATATGATTTCAGTTTTCACCACGACCTCCATAATCAGACCTCAGAGACCACTATCCAGATTCTTACTGGAGAACCTCTCACTTACTACTATAAACTTTCACTTAATGTTACCCGCCAGAACTGGAATGAATTTAAAGCTACGTCTTACTGTATACGGTTAAGCCTGCAACGCTTAGTATTTTATTTACATGAGAAAAAAAAAAAGGGTTTTTTATGGTGAAAGCTCTTTAATGTGAACTTTAGGTCCCTTAAGGGAGAAAAGTTGTTAAATGTTTCTTTTGCATTTAATTTGGGAAACCTGCAGTCGTTATAAAGAGACTTTGAGCTTGATTCAGGGGCAGTTGCATCGTATGAGTGCCTGATATTAGGATTAAAAAGCCTCCGTTATTTTTAGCAGTGCTCAGTTTTTAGCACGTAAAGTCTGTGTTGATAATTATTTTAGCAGCAGTTTTTAACGTAAAAGTGCTGATAATTATTTTTGTACTGTGCATTTAACATTTCCCTTTAAACATCTTTTTTAATTCATATTCATATTATGTTATGAATGCTATTACAGCATAGTTGAAATTAATGCAAGACCATAAAATTTAAAAAAAATATCATGCAATTTAATCTCAGTAATTAATATGTTTTTTTTTTGAAATTGAAAATTTACGTTTTTTTTTTTTTTTTTTTTTTTTTTTTTTTTTAAATAACACTATTTGTTGGGTAGTGACATTTCTAAATTCATTTTTAATTTACATTATTTGAAATGGAACTGTATTTTGTAATTAATTGAAAGAATTTCTTATATTTCCTGCTTTATAATATTAATTTTCCAAATAATTATTATTTTTCTGCTGCAGCGTCTCGGTCTATAATAGACTTATAACGGCTTCAAGACGAGGGCCACTTTCCGGTTCATAGGAACACTTTAATTTTTATTTACAAACAATATATATATATATATATGTGTATGCCGTTATCTTACCGGTATAACATCATTGAATAAAAAAGAAAAGATAATTGTGGTCTAGAAGTAGCTTCAGGACATATTATATGGAACACAAAATTCATTATATATTGTAAAAAAAATTAGTGTTTTTCCTTTTTGTAAAAAAAAAAGAAAGTTTATTTACCGTTTTCTTCATTATCTATGGTCATTATCTTACTGTTAAAACATCGTGGAATAAAATAGTAAATAACTTATGGCCTAGTAGTAATTTTTTTAAAGCATTATTATAAAACACGAAACCATTATAATGAAAAAACATTTCTTTTGTAAAGAAATCAATAATTTAATTTATTTTTTTCTTTTGCAAAAAGGAAAAAAAAATAAGTTTATTTACTTTTTCTTCCTCATCTTAAACTTTTATCATCTGCTTTCTCCAACATTTGTCTTACTATCTGATTTCTGTTCCGACCACGACCTCCTGTAATCAGACCTCAGAGACCACTAGCCAGATTCTCACTGGAGAAGTCTCACTTACTACTATAAACTTTCACTTAATGTTACCCCTGAGAACTGAATGAATTTAAAAGTACGACTTACTGTATATGGTTAAGACTGCAACGCTTAGTATTTTATTTACATGAGAAAAAAAAAAGAGGTTTTTTTATGGTGAAAGATCTTTAATGTGAAGTTTGGGTCCCTTAAGGGAGAAAAGTTGTGAAATGTTTCTTTGCATTTAATTTGGGAAACCTGCAGTTGTTATAAAGAAGTTAAGAGTTTGGATTTAGAGGGAGTTGAATCGTATGCGAACATTAAAAAGCCTGATATTTTTAGCAGCAGTTTTAACGTAAAAGTTTGTGTTGGTAATTATTCATATTTTACTGTGTTTGCTAATATTGGAACTTATTTAACATCTTTCATTTTTTTACTTTTTAAACATCACACAAAAATAAACTCATGTTTGTGAAAATTGCAACACCATGAAGGACTCGTCATAATTGAATGAAATTTAATACACAGTTTAGTGGTAGTGGTGCAAATAAATGATTAAATGCGGACAAGGTGTCTATCATCGCGAGCTGACGTCACACTTTGGGGTCCACTCCCGGATTTCCGAGTTGTCCGACACTCGTCCGTCCACTGCTTCCAAAGACGCATCACTGTGCTGCTGTTACGCTGCACACGAGCGGCTACTACACGATAAGACAATCCAGCTTCACGAAGGCCGATGATTCTCCCCCGTTCAAACTCTGTAAGTTGTTCAAATCTCGCTCTCTTCCATCGAAGAGGCATAAGTAACGATTGAGCTAACGTTTACCATTAGCAGATAACCACCGATAACCATACACGCCTCGCTACAGCCGTCTATTTATTCGGATAAATCCGCCGTTCAGAGGGCGCCGCTCAGCATACGCATGCGCTACGGATTTGAAATTCTAATCATTTGCATATCATGCGCTAATTGGCATTTCCTGAAAATTTCAGCTCACTCGCGTAAGTCCTTCATGGTGTTGCAATTTTCACAAACATGAGTTTAATTAAGATTGTGTTACGAAAGCTAATAGATCTTTGTTAAATGTAACAAAACTACAAAAGTTTAAAACCTTATTATTAGGAAGTAATTAATTAATATAACCTTTTCATGAAATTTATGTTTAGGAAATAATTATGTGTTAATGTGTTTCTTCTATTATAATTTTAAAATTCGTATTTTTCCAAATAGCACTATTTGTTTCATAGTAATATGTCTAATTTCAGTTTAAATATATTATTTGAAATTGAATTCCATTCTTATAATTAATTTGGAATATTTTTTATATTAACTATACTTTTTATTTGTTATAGTACCATAAAACTACAGTGGAAATTTTATAATAAATATTATAAAACTAATAAATATTATGAACTAAATAGTTCATTGGATTATAAATATTTATTAATTAAATAGTGTTATCGTATGCACCAACTAAGTAGTTAAGAAATGCATCTCTCTATTCAACGACTAAAAATAATTTTACACATAAAAATACTTTTTTTCATTGCTGGAATTTTATTTTATGGTAAATAAAACTTCTTAGTTTTCGAATTTGATAAATTACATCACTAACATACTTTAACAACGTTTCTTAACATTGTTTGAGAGGAAAATTAACCTTCCCTTCAAGAAAAAACTCGCAAACAAACGTTTCAAAATAAAGCAAGCGTCTTTCAGATATTTAAGTATTAGGTTATTATTTATTATATAAAAATTAAATGTACATTTTTAGTTTTAAGTTCCTTAATGAAAATGGTAAATACTTCCATGATTCATGCTGAAATTTATAGAAACGAAAGAGCTGATCTTATGGAAAAAGGAACAGAAATTCCTGGACAGTGTCATATTCCTCTTGACTGTTTTAGGAAAACTATACGGGACAAAATTAAGTCATTGTATATTAGTGAATTATTATCTAAAAACAAAGGAAATTTCTGAGAGACAATCGGAGATGGCTGGAAAAAATTGAGTGCAACATTTTGCAAAGATGCTGTTGTCAATTATA